ATTATCAAAAAATATTATATTAGATAGAAATATGTAATTTATATCAAGATTTTAGAAAATTCTTTTTAAGCTTTTAAAGATGGATATAAAACTATCTTTAGCTTTTTAATTTTAAATTGATGTCAAAATGAAGCAAGTGAATCAAATTTAAAAATAATATTTGGAGAATACCATCAACTACCAATAAGATGATTGGATAATTTTTTTATTATTATTAGAGTTTTTTTATAATAATAAAATATATTTTTTTATTCAACAAATGTTTTTCTTTATTAATTATGGTTATTATCTAAAACTTGATATTTTTGACTTTTCAAAAGTTAATAATTATGCTACAAAAGATTTGGCAAATTATTTGTCAGAGCTACATACAACAATAAAGGTGCAACTTAAAGAAGCTCAAGGATGACAAAAGATCAACAGACATGCTTATTGCAAGGAACAATCTCAATTCCATATTGGTGACAAGGTATGATTACTTTATCATAATATCAAGACTATTTGGCTTTATAACAAATTGGATTACCATAGATTTTGACCATTTTTTATATGTGAATAAAATAATCTAGTTGCTTATCAATTATATCTATTAGAGTCTATAAAGATCTATTATGTATCCGATGTATCTCTTTTTAAGTCATACAAGATAATAGATATACTAAAAAGGCAACAAATGTAATTTCTTCTTATAGAAGTAAATACTAACAAAGAGTATGAGATTGAAGAAGTCTTAGATTCAAGGCAATACCAAAATAGGTTAGAATATTTTATTCATTAGCACAAATATGATATAAGTCAATGCACATAGATGTCAACCAAGAATCTTATAAAATGTAATAAATAAGATTGATATTTTTTATTGACAACATCCATCAAAATCAAGATGAAGAATAGAAAATCTTTGCTATAAAAAAATTATAAATTATAAAAGATTGTATTTGACCTTCTATCTTTGTTTCTACTTTTTGTATATTTGTAATGTCAAGAAAATAGAGAATCAATAGATAGGAAATTTAACTCAAGAACCATCCTTTCCTTACTTATTGGATGAGATATTGTGATTATCACAGCCTTTAAGGTGACATAATTGAAATGAAGAGATTTAAGAATGACATATTCTTCCTCGAATAGATAGCAAGATATAATATGTTTGGTATCATGACTTTAGAAGAGACTCTTGATATTTGGTGATTTTATTGGAAGTAGAAATAACTCTTGATAGTATTATAAATTTGAAAGAAGTTACAAATGCCTCAATAATAATGAAATAATAGGTTGGTCTTCCTATCCTAAAATGAAACATTATTGATTGTTGAGAGGACCTATTAACTACTTTCAAAGAAAACAAAGATCAAAATACATAGCAAATATAATTTGCCGCATCTTGGACTTCCTCAACATGTGATCACTACTCCTTATAGAACTTACTCTTAGAAGGGGAATAATATCACAAATATATATATTTACTCCAATAATTACTTAGATATTATGAATAGATAAAAGTAGATTAATTTAATAATATCTTATAAAAAAGCTTTTTAGAAGCTTTATAAATGTAATTTCACCTTTATATGTATCTTTAGGTAATCGATTGGTTAAAAACTTGACCAATACATAAGCCATGTGTTGCATATATTGACAACATATATTAATAGATTGTGGCGCATATATATGAAACTTGTCTTACAAATTAAAACACATATCTTATAAATTAGATATGTGTTAGAGATCATATAGAATGTCATAATGTAGCTTCTAGTTAGATAGTATATATAAAAATAAGAGTGAAACTTTCTTTATTCTTGTCAATGCCTTTTTAATTTTTAGTCTTGTTTCAAGACTTTTTAATCTTCTTATCTTTGGCAATAGGTATTCTAGTTTGAATACTATATTAGTTTTGAATGATTTTTTTTTTTTTTGAGTTATATAAGAATATATTGAGCTTTTAGATCCTTGAGATTTATATCCTTGACATGAGGTAATATTGTGGATAAAAATAGTTACCTAAAACTTGGAAGATAATTGTAGGTAGAAGATAATTGTAGATAGATTTGATAATATCTTGTAAAATAATTTCTTAAAAGCTTCATAGATGTGAATTTGACTTCATACATGTTTGTGGATAATTGATATATTGAAAACCAAACCAATAAGATGGACATGTATTATACATATTGGCAACTTGTAGTACAAGTTGGTCACAAGGTACACATGTAAGAAACAAGTTAGACATGTATTAAAGATCATATAGAATGTTTTCAGATAACTCCTAATTAAATAGTATATGTGGAAGCAAAAGTAAAGCCTTTTTGACTCTTGTAAATTCATTTTTTATTCTTAGTCTTATTTCAAGAGTCTCTAGATTTTTTGTCTTTAGCAATAGCCATTCTAATTTAATATTTTACCATCTTTAAGTGATTATTTGTTCTTTTTATTGATTAAAGAGTGTATTAATCTTTTGGTTTTTGTGATTTATATCTTGGACATTATATTACCAAAATAACCATATAATTTGATAAAACTACCAAAAAAATTGTGATTTAACTAAAGTGCCAAAACAACTATATGATATATTATAATAAGGATAATCTTATTATATTTTTTTGTTTGTTTATCTATTCTTGTTTAAAACATATATATTTATTTATTTAAATTTTTTTTAAAGCATATGTATTTTTTAATTTAAAAAGATTCAAATATATATACAAAATATTTAAAATTAAGTAATAAAAAAGCTTAAGAATAGTTTTATTAAGTCAATTCTTGATTATTTTTTAATAAAGAATAGTAATTAAAAATTTAGACTATATTATATTGATCAAATTATCAAAAAATAATAATAAATTTGGAATCTTTTTTATTATACTTGTATGTCAATAATAACAACAAAACAACAACAATGATTGGATGTAATTGAGCAATCTAATGGAGTGGTTCAAATTAATTCACACATAAGACAACCAAGGAATAATATGGATTAAAAGAAAAGTGAAAAAAAAAAAACACACACACACACACACACACACACACACACAATTAAAGTTGTATTTTTGTACTAATTTTATTGTAGTTATAACAGTAATTTAGAGACATCTTTAAAAATTAAGAAACCATTGATATATAAAAAATTAAAAAAAATCCAAAGATGCTAACACTTCCGGGTGATTAATTTCAACATGATTCTATTGAAAGAAGCATTAAAAAAATCATACAATATCACCAACGAAGTTTGTTAACATTGTCAGTGATTGCTTTTCTTTATCACGAGTATTCTCCTTTAGTTTTATTTGGATTCATGACAGGGGCTTGGAGCACTTTCAGTGAATATTCACATTATGTATTATATATTTAGCGAGTTGCTTACGTAGGCGACAGATACGAAGAGTGAAGAATTCGAACTGAGAGAACTGCAACTGATGACGGGGAGGGGGGCATAATAAACGACAAGCATGGCTTATATAACGGAGGGCAGGGAATAAGAACGAATGTATGAAGGAATGCATTAATAAATGAGATGGCAGTGATGCGGAGAAAAAGAGACCAGTGCTCGCACAGAACCTTCCCACTTGTCGCTTGCGTTGGGGTTATGGTGTGCCATGTGCCTTCGAGGGAGAGGCAGGAACAGAAGCGACTAACGGCAAGGAGAGCAGGCTTCTATTTACATGGGAATCACCACCCGCTGCTGGTCACTCCCATGTGGCGTCGGGCCATGGGTACCGACTGCGGCAGTCAGCGATGCCGCGATTTCGGTCAGCTTTCAGGGTAAGACTGGAATGGACCGTAGACGGCCATGTCTAGCTCCTCCCCAAACACGATTCCACAACTGGTAGAGCCTCCGCTCCCTGTGAAAACACCAGGTAAACTCTACCTGCCTTCCTGACACTCATTGTCCATTATTTCTCTGTCCTGTGCTAGCCCAGTCCTTTGTAGTCCACGCATTCTCATACCTGACCCCAGCACTGATTCTTAATATACTTGTTATTACTCCGATTCGGGATTCTGGAATCCTCCAGATCCCACTCTGAATTCAGAAGGAGTCTTCAAACCCTTCTTTTGGTAATGGGTTAGAAAAGGTATATAGTTGGTACGGTTTTTCTCATTCCTTTATGAACAGATTTTGGGGAATTTTAACAAATATTCTATATACATGTCCTTGTCCACGTCCTCCCACTATGACAAGAATTTAGGGTCAATGTGAGCAAAAGCAAAAGGGCGCCAAAGGGGGTGGGGGGCTGACGCTAAGAGTAAGGATAAGCAATTAGGTTGTATGAAGGAGAGTCAAAATATTATATTTATTTCAATGTGGAATCTCACATTATTTATACAGTTACTTTTTTGCGTTGACAATGCTGGAGACACAGAATCAAACACGAGTGAAACGAATGATATAAAAATAAACAGAGGAGAAATCAAATATATCTATATAAAGACACACGCACATTTTCGTAGAAAGAGAAGGCAACTTGCATTGACAAATCCAATCGGAATTCAACACCGTTCTCTGTGCAAGTGCGATGAAATCACACGCTAGCCTCCAGTAGGTCCTCAATCCTACCGCATCGTTTTTCCATGTGATTCTAATGCGCACATTGCATTTAGATCGAGAAAAGGTCGCTTATGTCAGAGTGGAAGTTGTTGGCGAGATGCTTCCCACGTTGCCCTGTGAATAAGGGCACGACCAGCACAGGCAACTCGGTTCTGATCTTAAGGAAGTCCAGAAAAGCAAGCAGCGGAACTGCCAAGACTTTGAGGGATATTGCCCTGAAGAAGGCGTGCTCACTACCGCCCAGCTGGGTGGTGCTGACGTGGATTGAGATTTAAAAATTCTGATTGGCCAGGAAGGCCCTCGAGGACGAGGCAGCTCATTATCCACCCCCGTTACCTGTCAACTGTCGGTTTCAGTCCGGAGCGCCCGCCTTGCGACTCGGTCAGCGATTGCGAGATTTGAATAGTGCCCCCACCACCGTGACTTGCAATTCTCCCATCTCCGCTTTGCGCTGCTGGTCTCCCGCCCCCATTGTCAATCCCAACTAAGTCACGCTCTCTCACTCTCCTGGCTTTGGTCCCTCTATGGCTGGCCCTCTTTCAAGTTGATCTGCTCATAATGCTCACCCTGCTCCATACACTCCGCTCGCATTCTCTTTCCCTTCCCCTCTTCCTTCTCCTCCTCCTCCGCCCGCTCGCCCTCCCTCTCTCCCTTCCTCAGCTGTCCCTTTCCTCTTCATGCGCATTATTATCTGGATTCTGTTCTCCAGCATCTCCTCCTGATCCAGGCATAATCTCCAACGCGCACCGGCGCTGATCAGGTGGTTCATTCATTCATGCAATTCTAGGTGACCACCTGTGCGGCTGGCTCCCTTCTTTCGCTTCCTCTTTGAAACCCTAACACATCGATTACTCTCCTCCAATTATTGCCCTTCGCCCGAGTTTGTGTTGTGGTCAGTGCTGCTGTTTGCTCATGACGCGGTCGGGCGTTGCTGAACTTTTTAAGTGCCAGTTTGTCTGTTTAGATTCCTGCCTTACGTGAATTGCAAAATATGACCGCTGTGAAGACGGATGATTATCTTCTCACACTCACGAATTTGCGGTCCTGTGTTGTACAATCATCTCCTTCCAAGTCTTTTCGAGATTCGATATTGTATGCCGGAGCTGCAATATTTTGCTAACACCCTTAGTCGACCAATTTCCTCTTGTACCACCTTGCATTTCGTACGTTATCTGTGATATGATCATCTCAAGCTGTTGTAGACGTTTGCAATCCTAACACTGCACTCTGTTGCCCCTTGCAGCTGATTTGTATGTAACTCAAAAGAAGCTCCTCAAACTCACAATTCCTCCATAATGGCGTTCGGTTCTGAAGGGCTCATGAGCGTGACGAATGCTCTCCGTCAGGAAGAGAAAGAAGCCGGAAAGACTGGCCAAGTCCCAAATCTCGACCACGCCCTCATCCTCGCGAAGACGGAATCTGATCACCCATCCATAGCAGAAGCATGGCGCAACATCGAAAACAAAGGAAGTAAAGGAGATCCTCAACATCCTGGCCACAACGTCGCTTCGCACGTTCAGGAGGATTCTTTGCAACCTCAGGCCGTAGGGCATGCGCTTGTACAGGCGTGCCGTGGAGGGTACATTCGCTGCGTTCGTCGCCTCCGGAAGATTCAAAATGAAAAATTGAGCGGAAGCTTGCTCGTCGCACTTTTCAACGCATTTGGTTTGTTGAAAGCCGCAGAAGCAGGGCATGCGGAAGTTGTGGAGGAGCTCCTGCAGCCTATGAAGTCGGCAAGCACTGCCATGATGGGGTATATGCTGGCCACCGAATGGAAAGATCAGAAAGGTTCTGAAAGCTACCCATTTGTAGAGAAACCGGTCAACCCCCCGAGCTCGGATTGGATGCGCAAGTTGATGAACTGCAGGAGTACGCTTCCAGCCGCAACCCCTGCATCCCAGTCCAAGGGCTGGGATCTCCGAGGATTGCACGAGAACCCCGATGAAGTGATTCGCGCCTCATATGCAACCTATTTGTTATGGCGAACCTCTGTGATTGCAGGCTCTCATTGCCACTACGATATATTTGGAATTTTGCTGAACAGGAGACAAGCCGACGGAGTTGAACTTACTAAATCGCTCCAGTCGATTAGGATTACTCGAGGACATAAGAAAGGCCAAATTGGATTGGACAACGAAGTAATGAAGATCCTTGATGAGAGGAAGAACATGGACAACACTATGTATCAATTGGTAGAAGAGTACAGCACGAAGAATTACCATGACGCCATGTTGTACACATTGTGGGCGCATATCCAGCGAAAAGGAAAGGATGTTCCCTTAGGACCAGGCGCAGGGAAGCCCAAGTGTGTAGCTCAAGCTCTGAATGGAATTTGGGAGATGATATTAGAAGTCCCACTTCTGGTAATGCCTGTGGAGTATGCTATGAAGGACGAGGAACTTTATAAGAGATACAAGCACTTGACCCTCTTGTTTAATCAGAAGGCGAAAGTGAATATTCAGCTCGTTGCGACGGTTGAGGCCCAGTCCAGTTATCTGCAGGTAGATATTTTAGACTCTTGCATGTCGATCAAGCTGTTCCGATTAGCGGTGGCGAGGCAATGGTTTCTCTGATGGTTTTTTGGTTTCTGCAATCAGGTTACAGTTGCGGTGAAGCATGTGAGATTCAAAGCAGAAAACTCCCGGTGGGATGAGTTGGGCATGGGGCATTTTCCAACGGCCTTGACGTTATCGGTGACGCCGCAGACGAAGGAAGGGTCGAGCGTAACCATGACGAATTCGTCGTCCAACACCGTGTACAAGATCGGGCACGGGGAAAATATCTCAGTTGGGAGCGGGGCTGGCGACGGAGCAACGAGAGGATTGGCTGCGGGACTAAGAGCTAGTGCAGCTGTCATGGTGAACTCCACCATGAAGGCGACGCCGTGGAGGTTTGAGCAGCACCCGATTCAGGACACTTCAGATCGCGGAGGCAGCTTTGTGTGGACACTGCAGTCGATGAAAGGTATTCCTTTTGAGAGGTCCAATCCCCATCGCATGGCGGACACGAACTCAAAGTGGAACTGGGGTCGTAGAGTCCCGGGTAACCCCTTGGATGAGCTCCCATTCACTAGCGAAGGCGGCGTCATCTTCACTGGCAACGAGTTTACCGATACCATGATGTGGCGGTTCCCAAAGTCGATGGAAGGGAAGAGGTTGAGGTGGACTATTGCGGGGCAGATTCATTCCACATTTACGACGAGTCGCTACTTTGAAACTCGCGTGGCCAGCTTCAGCGGTGAGATTGACGAGAGATTGAGACCCATGGAGGACACGAAGGGCAAAGACAAGGACGCCGAAAAGGGTAAGAAATCTGAGAAAAAGGAGACAGCGGAGATAGATGATAAGAACAAGGACTCGGAGAAAGGTGAAGTAAGCAAGCCCAAGCTTGGCAAAATCAACACTAGTATGAGGACTGATTTTGAGGAATATCTGGAGTTTAAGAGGTACAAGGAAGAGCGGATGCGAATGATGGGTGAAGGTCAGAGCACACAGGCATCCAATAATGAAGGAGAGTTCAAGGAAGATACGGTGCGAGAGTCTGCTGATGCAGCACGAGTAAAGAAATATGGGAGCAGTCACGATGAGATAGAAGAAAACACCGTGAATTTGAAACTCGATCCGGAGGAAGGGCGTTCTTCACTTCAAGTGCGGCCTTCACTTGTTAGAGTCAAAGCCAACAACGGCAGATGACAGGAAATGGAAGACCTGAGTCCTCCACATGAACCTCAGGTGGGAGTGGATTTACGAGGCACAGAAGATGAAGATTTGTATCCAGCATCCGATTTTATCAATGGATCGCAGGGCCAAATTGCCTGTGACGTGGAGAAGCTCACAAGATCAACATAGGTTACACCTGCTGCACTGTAAGCTAGTCAGGACACACTTAAGTATCTAGTAAGTTCATAGGTAATGGTATTTTTGTACTCCATCGAGTTCTGATTATCGTAGATATATTTATGACCTTCAAATTGAAAGTCGTATTTATTCCGTAAAAGCTTTCACACAAGTTTCTTTCCAGTTGGTGACTTCGATCCAAATCTTGTGTGTAACTTAAGTCCAAATGCCGTGCGTTAGTATCTGTGGCCTGGAATACCAAAGTGTTGACATACAGTGGAACCGCAAATTGTATCCTTCAGACTTAGTTTGCATAGCGGTCGTCGCTGTTTAGCTTTTCATAGACAAATCTATGTAACTTAGTAAAATTAACACCAAAAGAAGAAAACTTATATTCAAATAAAATAATTCTTCGACTCTAATGCAAATTACAAAGTACAGAAAAATTCAATTTAATTCAACTCCCACCTGCGGAGATTCACCAGGTGGGAGTAGAACTAAACAAGGTTAAAAAAATAATTTACATAAATTTCACTAATTTAACATAAATGTATTATAATAAATAAATAGACTTACAGATAGAAAATAAAATTAGCAGTAAATAAATTTTTCATAATCTAAAACTTAAAGAATTATTATGATTGAGATATTAGAAGTGTTGTACAAACTCAAAAAGAGGAAAAAACAAGTCTATTTTGCAACTTTAACTAATGAAAATGGTCGATAATAAGATCTTAGCTAATTCATGATATGAAACTAGCAATTTTCAAGTATGATCTTAATAATATAATTTATTAGGAGATAATGAGATTATTAATGATAAAAGATTAATTTTAGAGAATTTGGAAAATAATGATAATAATAATAATCATAATCAAATTATTTGACCTAAGTGAAAGATAGAAAAAACCATTGTTGAAAAAAATGATTCAGTATAGAAATTTTTGTTGGCATAAAATCTTAGAAACATTGACACCATTAATTGGGTTTAAACCTATGACTTTTGAGTTATTTGGAACCATCTTTACAACATTTAAGAAAGTCTTTGTCTCATGTCCATTATATAAAATATAGAATTATCCATTTAAAGAAGGATTTTACTTGGCATGCTATTTGCTTCCTACATTGAAGCTAGGTGTAGTGAGAGAGCAACACGCAAGGAACAAAATCCTTCACTCAAATTCAACCCCATGTGAATGATAATTTATACACTGATACTCATCCACTAGATTCGGTGTAAGAGTAATTGTATAGAAATGCATCACATTATGTTCCAAAAGAAATCACGAGATTTTCTCTATCTCCTCAATTTGGATATGGTGCATGGGAAATCGTCGCCAAAGCTACAACCTTTACTCCAGAAGATAATATACAGAGCTTATGTTTGAGGAATTTGATGAGAAAGAAAGCCAGAGTTATTCCTTGAGCCTGATGTTCCTTCATGTTAAATACAGTGCCCAAACCCCAACTACGCCGAATACTTTTCCATTCAGAAAGGATCCGAAAGAATGATCATCAGTTTTAGGATCCCACAGACACCTGCTTGCGAATTGAAAGCCTTGGTCCTTGGATTCTCCAACAACTGATTGCACTACGATCCTGTATCTTTGATAGCCCAAATCTGCACATCATCATCATCATCACCTGATTAGCCTCTGCCAGGTAAGCAAGGGCCAGGAATTGTTTCAAACCATTGAAATTCTACTAACATTATGATGCTTGAGTTTGCAGTTTATCAGTGTCTTCTGGGTTGCAATTTGTGTGCACCCATGGTGTTCGTGTACCCAATAGTAGGTTGTATCTTCAGGTTGTTTGTGTCCAACCTCGCACTTGTTGTTCGATACTATGAGTGTTGGATATGCTGGGCAAGGGTGTGAACTTTACATATTTCATACAGTCTCGGTGGTTGATTGTATGCTGGGGATTGCACAAATGGAATGTTCAAGCGTCTAGAATTCGGACGATGGAGAGTAGAGTTTGCAGATTGGAAGGCAAGGGGTGAGGAGCAACCTCGAACCTCATTCTTGACGTGGTCTGCAATTTCCCGCGCCATAGCAGGTGCCGTCTCAAAATCGTAGGCTGGCAATGGTCCAAGCTTCTCTTTCAGTATTCTCTCGATGATTTGTCTCACTTTTTCTGGCTGGAAGCGAGCATTAGGAGCATAGGGCAACTCGGAATGGACTTCCACCTGGAGCATAGCACACTATTATTGGCGCATTGGAATTCATTTCAATTTCAGGTTAAATTCATCAGAACGTCCACTCTAAAGGGTAGTTGGCTCCTGCCGAAACCCTAAAGTTTTGAATGTGTTTGAATGGACTCGTAATTGTCGACAGCAGGACATGTTTTGCATCACATGTCCTGCAAAATGTTGATGAATGAGTGTTATCTTGTAACCCAGTCTTGCAAACATTCAGAGAACACTCAGTGTGGACGAATATTGAGTATTGGTACCGTGTCGGCAAGCAGCGTGTCGGGCACAGATGTTAACTCATTCTTTATGTCTGCCAACGATGCTGGCGTCTCGAGTGGCTTCAGTGTCTCCGCCATGTTGGAAGACGATTCTAACGATATGAAAATGCACAGCCTAGGAGCATGCTTGCTGTTTTTTGTTTTTTTTGTTCTTTCCCTCAAGTTCAGGATCAAGAGGCGTGAGATAGTCTGGAAGAGAAGACAATCATTACAGACATCCAGTGAGACGTTATTTCGTGGCGCTCTGCCGCTGTAAGCATAGTTAGGACATGGCTTGAAAAAAACTGACCACTACACTGCAGCTTGTTCGCATGAAAGCAGCTTGCACTACCATACGACTGAGATTTGACGGATGCTGTTGTGAATACAGTCGTTCCACTTCACTCTTGAAAGCTCACAGAGCTTTATATTTATTCCTGGATAAATGGAAGTTTAGAGGAGTTTAGTGCTTGTTGGGTTTTGGGGTAGTTACAGCACTACACGTGTGTTGTAAGTGATATCAATAACGATGAAATCTTGCAATTTTGGATATTGCAGCTACTCGAGTATTATCACATGATGTTACAATCACATGAATCTTCAAATTGAGGTTAGTCTTTCAATCAATTTTGCTTCTTCTTCATCCACAAATAATTATCCGTTCGCATTCGCATTCAACTCGCATAGTCAAATATGGAAGTTAAATCAAAAAATTACTTTCAGAAGTGAAGGCCATCCAGCGCTTATGTATTAACAAATACTGATGATTTTGAATTGGTCTCCATTGAAAGCTAATCATGAATTAACAGTAATGAAGTCAACAGTGGCAACTATAACACTGTTAATCCTTCAAGACATTATTGATTCAAACCCTTATCATATCTGGGGAGGCTAACTATCAATTCATACTGCCAAGACCTCTTCTTTCACAAACATGCTTCTAGTTTTCTCTATGAACCAGGGCTTGTGTGCAAAAAAGCTAGTGCAGTTACAAGGCCAACCCAGGTGCGTCTTTTCATGAATGGCCTTATTAGCAGGAGACTTGTTTATCGCATTCACCTAGGCAGTGCCTGGATGGGATTTGCACAAAATTGTGATTGAAGTAACGCGAGTAATGAAAACCTTGTGGGAGGAGAGACTGCCCAAAAGTGGCTAATCCTGAAAACAAAACATTGCACTGCACCCACACACCGAGTCAGCAATCAATCTAAGGGAGTTTTGATAGTCGGTTCCCCAGCAGTCGCATCCTTAACGGCGGCAGCTGATACTGCTTCTGCTGCCCCATGAAGCCCTCGTTTCTCGAGTGCCTCCGCAAATGCTTGCTGTTGTTCCTCGCCAATTCGGTAGGGCGTGTGCACAGGTGACGGAAAAGCCTTCGATATCACCTCGTCCCGAAACTGCGAAAGGGCATCATTGATCACGTTCCCTAGACTTGCGTACTGCTTCGAGAATTTCGGTGTGACCTATCCCAATCGCCAGGAATACATCAGCCATGAACACTTCCACAACCATGATCCAATTCGAAGCAACAAACGAGGAGTCGATTATACGTTCTAGCTTTGAAGTTAAAGCTGATGATAGACTGCTTCTCTCAACACTACACACCAAAGTTGTTGGGGTTTGCCAAGAGGTAAGAATAGATTAGTACCTGCACGAAATGGGGGTGTTGCATCATACCGAGAAGATCATGGTACACCAAGACCTGTAAAACACATTAAAACAAACAAACAAACAAACAAACAAACAAAAACTTAGAAATTAAAATCAACCACAAAGAAAGCCCCAAATGCTGCCAAAACAGGCTTGATTGGCAAGTGTCGACAAGCATGGGTGAAGGAAAAGAGAAAGGTTATGAGAGACGTACTACCTGGCCACTACAGAAAGGGCCAGCACCAATCCCAATGGTGGGAATTTTAAGTGCGGATGTAACAGCTGCCGCAATAGGAGATGGAACGCACTCGAGCACGATCGAAAAGCAGCCAGCGGATTGCAAAGCCAAAGCATGGTCCAAAACCTGTGTTTCACCAACACATCAAATCCCTGATAGTCTGTAGAAAAATTACACGAGCAGAGAACTATCTCCACGGGAAGCATATATTGTGAAGACACGAGGTTTTGGACTACACAATAGCGTATCTATGAAAAATTGAGGGGAAATAAACAGAGATTGCTAAAGTACCTGAAGCGCACTATCAACATTGCGGCCTTGAGGACGAAAACCGCCCAAGACACTTATGGCCTGTGGAGTGAGGCCCACATGACCCATGACCGCAATGCCTGCCTCAGAGATTGCTTTCGCTGCTTGAACGCGAGATCCTCCACCTCCCTCCATCTTTACTGCATCCATTCCACCCTCCTTGAGCATCCGTGTCGCACTTGCTACTGCCTGTCCAACCCTTGATCGCTCCGTCATTTTCATTTATTGAGCACCAAATACAAAACTCTCTTCCTAGAAATCAAAGAAGATTTGGCTCCAACTGAAGAGAGACGAAATGAAACTGATTTCGCAGATTTTTTCTAATTGCATACCTGCTGTGTGCTCTGCTCATAGCTCCCAAATGGCAAATCTCCAACCAGAAGAGGTCGATCTGCGCCCCTTGCTACCGCCTTGCAATGCAGCAGCATGTCCTCCATTGTGACTGGCAGCGTTGTGTCATGCCCATGCACAACCATACCCACTGAGTCCCCTACCAGACATATGTCTATGCCTGCTCGATCCACATGCGCCCCTGCAACATCTCGCAATGAACATTATTGCGCACAAAACAATGGCGGTCTGATGATGAACATGGTGCGAGAGGCTCTTCCATTACAAGATGCAATCCGAAATAGTAGTTTCAAACCAGCTGTTAAAATAGGTCGTTAAGCATCACTCACCGGAGGGATAATCATACGCAGTTACCATCGTGATGGGCTGATTCGTTTGATACTTGGCTTCAAGGTGCCGCAACGTCACCCTTTTCCACGGCGACTTGGACTTGGGGCCTCCATATACCGTGCTCTCAGGCAGGTTGCTCATGGACCGCCTTTCCACGCATCTCGACAACTTGCTGTAAATGTCCCTCAAATTCCTCGAATTCCTCCACATTGTTGCTTCCTGCAGTTTATCAACGTGTTCAGAGCAGGCGATGGCATTGATAAATGGCGTCCTGGTAAGCTTCCCCAATAATCTTCTAACGACGATAAAATCTTCACCTTGAATCTTAAACCCTACACCCTAAATCCTGAAACAGTACACAAACGTAACCATTCTACAGTCGGAGGGAAATCCAGAAAAAAGAAGAGAATGGTTTACTTAGAGTTCCTGAACAACAACCAAAAAAAACACACGCCAAAGAAATGCTCTCAAGGAATTCGCGCCTGGCGCGATTCTTACAACTAGATTGTTCCTCGAATCAAACCATATCCTACAACAAGGGCTACTGAACTCCACTTCCGCAATCAAATCAACCACGAGACACTATCTGCTTTTACAATCGATACATGAGATTCCGACCGAGCCCACAAAACTCCTCTCCCCCACGCCCTCAATTCCCACTACTTGATTCAAAACCTACCAGACCGAAAGAGACTTAATGTGCGAATCTTTTGGCCTCGAGTTCTGTTTGACTGTGAAAGTCGAAGGATTCCAACAAATCCAATGGCAAATGCGATATCCGAACTACCATTCAAGTACCCAGATGTGATTGCAGGGATAGTTGAACCCTACAGATGACGTGATCAATCGACAGCATGGAAAATGGCAGGATTGCGAGTGAAGGTCAAAATTGAGGGGCCCGGAGTCTCCACACCGACGAACTCGTGCCGAAACTAGCAGATTGGGATATTGATTTAAAAGTTTCTGCAGCACCAGCAGGCGATTAGGACTGATTATCAACCGAAAATAGAAACCAACGACCTGCTTCTGTGGCTCGTCTGTAAATAACGATGCTTTACAGGATGTTGGCCGGGTATTATTTTTCGTCTCCATCTGTCGATATTGTCTTCACGGGAATGATCATTGACCTAATAAAGTTTCCTTTCCAGACTTGATCTTTATTCCAAGTCTTGCATCATCTCGCACCATGTGTACTTTGACCTCAAAATGCAAGTACAGAAAACTCTACCAAATTAGGAAGTTCTCGGTGACGGGAGTGAAGGAAATAGTTAACTGAAATTGATGACGATGTGAGTAGCTGCAAGTTTCAGCGAAGGAGTCGCGCCGTACAAATGTGCCAAGGCCAAGCAACTCTGTAGACTTTGAATACCTCGTGATCGAACCTCCTGATGAATTTGTCAAGATACCCAGTAACATTAAACAGCACGATCATCTTTTTCAGCAACTCGATTCCCCAGACATTGCACTGCACCATGCGGAAGTACATTTCAAACATGGTGAGGTGCAATTCCCATCCAGTTCCAAAACAAATAGAATTGTTTACATGTATGAAAAATAATTTCTGGTATCATGAACTTCTTGTACAAAAATTGCAACCATGATCTGAATCTGAACTTGGATGCATTAGCCATTTGCCATGATTCTCAAATCTTTCACACGATGGATTGTCTTGTGATCCTGCATACGATCGATCATGCCTTGTGCAATTCATTCTTGGACTGTGCTCATTCTAGAAGGGTAATCCATCTGAAGAAATTTCTTGGATTGAGAGACAAGTACTTTTTTTGCCATTATCAACTGGAAGCTGGCAATATGATCATGTCTTGGTTGAGAGACTGTCACCCTGTGCAAGGCCGATCCCGGAGGAAGCTTGCCTAAGCGGCGGATTGCTCAAGGTGGGCCGGCTTGTTCCTTCTTAACATTACCACACAACCCATTCATTGTTTCATGGGCTCATTCCACAACTCTACCTTCAGTTACTTTCCAAGTTGAGGACGAAGGTACATTCGATTTGAAAAAAACATTACTGTATTGTTTTTGAAGTGTTCTGATCTTGCTCATGTAGTGACTTTTTGAGAGGGGTGCAGTGCTGGTATGAGATTTTAAACGAGCGAAGAGAATGCCTTTCCATTTGCATCTGGGCAAGTCGTGAGGACGCAAACGAAGGCATCCACAAGCCAGCACACCGCATGGCGATGAAGCTGGAGTAATGCTCCCTCAACATCGATGAGAACCTCTCACCCACTCGCAAGCTGGATATCTGTAAATGATACACTCACAGGGTATCTAGAATCAGATATCAACCAGGGTATTAACAGGGCATAAAGTAGGGTTAATAGGTTCAAACAACTCTCATTGGGCACAGCTCCGGTTCTTGCTCAACAAAGCAAGTACATACCCGATGCTAACTCAATTTTTAATCAAATTTTTATTATCGATAATACAGTTGCATACCAACTCTACTTAGAAACTTCACAATACCTTCCTGACAATCTTCTTGATCCCATCACTTCGTTCCACATGCTTGCTCTCGTACCCAGACGAAAAGCTTCCTGACGTCCTTCTCTGCTCTAGTGCACACACTCAGCCCACTCCGAAGAAGATTCGAGATCCTCACCTAAAATCTCAGCTTCCTAGTATTCTATTGGGCATTCGAGGGTAGGTCATTTAAAAATGTATTAAGCATCTTCGAATGTGTAAAAATTTCAATTCTTCGCCACCGATGCATGAGTTCGACGAGTGCTGCACAGATTCATTACTGCATGTGCTCTCTCTCTTGGCAAAGAAAATGCTGTTACAGAAACCACAAAATGCTCTTACAGAAGCTTGTGTGTGGGCCTGGCTGAGTATTGGATACCGATATTCCCAATTTGAGTTCCATAAAGTGTGTTTGGCAGGGTGCTTGGCACCTGGATGACTTGCCGGCCACACCACGATTGACGATATGGAATTTGGAAAACACAATTGATTACGAGCAGTCTCGGGTCATCAAGTTGTCTTGTTGCGATTTTCCACAGAAAATACATCAATTGCACCAAATGGTCACTTCACGGAGTTCAGGTTCCCTAGATCGAATCACCCCAAATATGGCATCCACCACGATTCTTTTCAATTAATTCACGCAACTGACGAATGCATGCGGTATTCGGTAGTTACAGCGGTGAAGGGTCCTGCTTGAGCCTGCCCATCCACTTGGCGCCATGAGGTTCCAGATTCCCTGTGCAACGTCAGTAAAGCCCTCACTTCTAGGGTTCCTGAGTTTGTGACATGAATTTGAATGTGGAAGTGAATGACATCTCCATTGCTGTTGCCCTGCCTGTCGGAGTAAGCCATGGCGTTGTTTAGTCTCTCGAGTGCTCTCTTGTCCCCCTACCATGGTAGTGTAGCAGAGTTGAAGGAACCCAGTGCGTTGAAAATACTATACCCATACCAGTTTCCGAGTTTGGGGAGGTTTAGGCGTGGCGGGATTGCGCTGCCAGCATTTGGGGGCTTGGGATGGAGATCTGTGGCAGAGCAGACGATCGAAAGTGTTCATCTACATAGTCACAGATGCTTCAGTTTTCCGGAAAAGGATTCGAACTCGACGACGGAGTTGCAAGGGCCAGAATTTGCTCTTGAGGATGAGTGTACAGATGGAGCAATGTCAAGTGGCCGGAAGATGATTATGTTATTTCTGTCGAAATCAGTGATTATTGGTGTGTTGGCATTCACAATGGCCGCTGTGGCTGCGGCGTCCAGGAATCGCCGCACAGGTTTGGTCGCAGAGCCTGCCGATTCAGGTCAAGTGTATGTTTTGAATGGCAAGCCAGTGGTTTCCATCTCCAATAAGGTTATCCAACATCCTACGCTTCTTGCATAATATTCCTGCATTTGACTGTTTACTCGAATATTTACTTGAATGCTTCTTATGGGAATTGGTCCCATGTTTCTATTTTCATAAACTGTGAGGGATGGGATCGTTCTTGCTTGCATCAGACTAGTAGACAATAAGATTCGTGGGTGATTTGTAGTTCAATGAAGCGGAACCTCGCATTTCAAGCAGAGAAAAGTTGTCGAGGAGTCTTTGTTTTGCATCGACAGCACTAACAGCGAATGATGGACTCACGAAGCTTCAGGTAGGTTTTTCGCAAACAACAGCAATGAATGCACGATTTAGATAATATAGAGCCCTGGTGTGATTGATCCGGTTCTTATTGGTACTGCAATGGCATTGTGCTACATCAGGAAAAAGCTATCGACGAAGCAATGCAAAAGTTCAAGGAATGGGTGAAGGATGTGAGATCCGACGCGCAGAGTCAAGGAGTGAGCGAAGAAGTGCTGGACTGGGCCCTGGAAAACATAGAATTGTCCAAAGAGTCGTTGGTGCATACGGAGTCCATGCCGGAGGTGAAGCTTACACTTGACGACTACCTCAAGAGGTCTAATCGCACCCCATCTTATCACTCAACAATTACCATGTCTTCATTTCTGTTTCAAGGGCACATCATGACTGTAGATACGGGTTTTTTTTTACTGTGAATCGCAGAATGGTGGATGAAAAGAGGGTAAAAATTGGCGCAGAGCTTATGAAAGAAAATGTAGAGTTACTAACTGAGGTTTCTCAAAAATTTGGTGTCCCTACTCAGTTTTTGGTGGCCATATGGGGCATTGAAACGAAGTAAGTTTTCGATCAATTCCACAAATTATAATTTTCTCTCTCAAAAGTAGCTTCGTTTGAACGAGAACGATTTCCAACCTTGGTCATAATTGGTTTCAGTTTCGTGTTGTTTGCAGCTATGGATCGTACATGGGAAACTGGGACATCATTCAGTCTCTGGCAACGATGAGCTTCACAGAGAAGCCTGTAATTACTCACGCAAACTTTCAACCTGGATTTAAAAAAATTGTTGTGTAGTCTACTATGTCGTAAAACTTAAGCTAGGAGTTGGTAGAAAAATCGATGTGAGCGGGGCTGACAATGATTTGGGACTGCGACATTGCAGGCAAGTCGAAGTAATTATTTCAGAGGGGAGTTGATAGAGGCTCTGTTAATGCTCCAGAAAGGTACAGCAGATCGAGGAAGAGGGCCTGAAGGGAAGACGAGGTTGCGAGGATCATGGGCAGGCGCAATGGGCCAGTGCCAATTCATGCCCACCAGCTTTCGTGATTATGCCCTTGACTACGACGGTGACGGTCACAAGGGTACAACTTTTTTAACTTCGAAGTCTTTTCGACTGTTCTCGCCTCATCTTATCCTCATATGTCGTCATGACTTTGGTTGAGAGAACTACCTTGTTTTGAAACGATTATTTGTGTCCAGATATCTGGGAGTCTAAAGCAGACGTCTTTGCGTCAATCGCCAACTACTTCAAGGAACATGGATGGAAAGAAGGTGGCCCCATCTTCCAGAAGGTAACGACCCTGTTCCTCTCTCGGGAGCAAAATTTTCATTTCAATTGATCTTCAACTTTGACGAGTAGTCGACTGCATTTAGGCACGAGAAAAATCCAGCTAAATGTTAACGAAAGAGGGTGGTTTGCAGGTTCAAGTGCCAAGGAAGCTGGACGAAAGCCTTGTAGGCTTAGGAGTCGTGAAGAGTGTTTTGGATTGGGAACACAAGCATGGGGTCCATTTGAACCCTGGAAAAGCGCCGCCTCTTCCTCCAGATGAAATGGCGAGCTTGGTACATTCTGCACCCGAAAAGTCCTTGGTTTTCAACTTTTTCTGAATCCCTCAAAATTGAATTTCATGTATCACTCCACTCTTGAAACTCACCAGCTTTTCGTGGAGTGGTTGTTGCAGTTGATGCCAAATGGACCAAAAGGGAACGCGTACCTAGTGTGCAGCAATTTTCGAGTCATTCTACGGTACAACTCAAGTAGCCTGTATGGTTTCTCGGTGTGTGAATTGGCACGGCTGATCGAAGAAAGATCCTCGAACCCTTACCCCACACCTGCATTGTAATCTTAAATCGCAAGCCCTGTTTGAAGATTGAACAGAAACTGAAAGCATCCTCGAAATCTTTTCAAATAAAATTCTTACTTTTGTATGCCGGTTATTTCCGATCACGCCAACAAATGCTCTAAATGACTCATTTCTGCTGCAGGATCATTTCCAGAGATTTGAGTCAACTTGTAGACGTCTGGTCAAATTTTGTTTGAATAATAAGGTTGTCAGGTTCCTGTACAGAATTTACGCCTTGGGGCGCATTTTAACGAAGTAGATCCGCTAAACTGCATGAGTTGGGCTAGAAGCCACATTGCTCTCCGCTAGTATGTACAGGTCAAGCAAGTACTATTGTAGCAATTAGTAAAAAATGTACATCTACAGTGAACAGTTAACAGGTAGCAGAGGAAAGAATGTCTATTTCGATCTTCAAATTGTTCACTGAAGAGTCAAGACCAGCCGCTCAGGTTGCTCAATTAGCAACTTCCATTCGTTGCAAAAATGCGCCACAGTTGCTCCATCGACCACCCTGTGATCCGCTCCCCATGTGACCTATATTGATAGAATCATCAACCACTTCAGCACCCAAGGTGATTGAGCAATCAATTTATCTAAGATAACGAGTTCTCTACGTAAATAAACAACTATGTTGAGCCTGGAACGGTACTCACATTGATGACACGTTCTGAGTCTTCGTTGCCGTCAAAACCCGTCTCATTTGGTCGAACAATCTGGTGCATGCGACCGATGGCAACGATGGCGACTTCGGGAACATTGAGAATAGGCATTCCGAACTTGCCTCCTATTGCTCCAAAATTAGAGACAGTAATTGTGCCACCAGTGATGTCCTCAGTGCTTAAAGAATTCGTATTAGCAAGGTGAATCAGGCGAGATAGCTCTGCTGCAATCTGTACAATCAGCAGTTCATTTTATTAAGATGTGGAGTTCCATCAGTGAAGATAGCAAGATTAAGACGATTCCTGCAAAAATATGAAACGGTAAATAAGACTAGTTTCAAATCAAGAGTACCAACCTCAAGGACCGAGAGGCGCTGTACATTTTTGATGTTGGGTACGACAAGACCAAAGCTGGTAGCCATCGCAACACCGATATTGTGAGAAGCTGCAAAAAAGACACCCCCAACAGTATCAGAGAATGCTTGATCCATGTTCAGGCAAAGATTCAAACAAAAGAAATTTAAGCTACGATACTACCAAACGAAACTTAGTAATGAGAATCTTTAAGTATCTGTAGCACCTCGAACATTGATCTCAGTCACTGCTTCGTCTACAACACTATTCATGAGGGGATATTTCTTGAGCGCCATGGACAAGGATTTGATAAGAAAAGGGAGATGCGTAAGCTTCACGCCAGCTTCAAGAGGCACTCCTTCACTTAACGCGCGCTTCATCTCTGTCAGCTTACTCACGCCTATCTCTTCCACGTAGTAGAAGTGTGGTACAGCTGCAGCTGCAGTCATGGCCTTCGCCATGGCTCGTCGATGACCTCTGCCACCAATGTTACGCCATCGGTCGAGGTTAACACACAAGAACGCTAAATTCAACTGTCAACGGAGTTCATGCTTGCGGTGAGAACTATTTTTAAAAACTTTTGGACTCCACTAGAAAACATGTAAATATCCACATACATACCTGATAGGAATGCAAGTATCTGCTCCATCGAAAACGCTACGACTGGGCTCTGCTGGCACAGGCGTGTACTCTCTGCTCACACTCGGCTCAGACGTTTCTGGCGCCTGCTTGACGTGAAGGGGTGTTTCGTTCAAAGACTGCAACACAAGGATCATTGGGCTGAGCACTTTCAGAACGAAAATGTGGTTGTAGAGCTTCATGGACTGAAACAGGTTGATCTAATAAATATGTACCTGGATATCATCGTGTACATTTTCTCTCGATGCGACGTAATTCAAGACGTCGTGCTTCATAATGCGCCCATCTTTCCCTGTTCCTACGATGCTGGCTAGATCCACACCGTGCTCCTTGGCCAAGGCTCGCACTGCTGGGACAGCAAGCACCGATGAGTGATCCCGCCCGTCCTCACTCTTCACGGATTTCGCTTTCGACTCCGCAATTGATTGAATCTCTGTACTGAGGTTCGGCTCTCCTTTGCTCAGCCCCACTTCCGCGGCTGATCCTTCCAGCATCAATTCCATCAATGTTTCGCCGACCTTGACTATATCCCCGGGAGAGAAGAGAATCTGGGATACTTTACCCTTGTAACGGCTCGTGATCACGACGGAGGCCTTGTCACTTTGCACCTCGCAGACAGGAGCGAACTCATCCACCATGTCACCCTGCCCAAGTCATCGAAACCATAAGCAATCACGAACACCATGACAAGAACGATCGATCTAGAGAGAGTACTATGCATGTGATTTGAGGGTCCAGTTGCTTGGTTACCTCCTTTACAAACCACCGAATCAGCTCGCAATCTGCAATCCCTTCCCCGGTTTGTGCCAACGGTATCTCCACTATCCCTCCATTAGCTTCCACATCCGGCATCCTCACCTCGCTAGAGTTGAAACCCCTAAACTTTTGTAAAATCTAGAATCACATAATATCTTGAATCAGTGCTTAACTTCAGACTGGAGATACATCATATCCGGAATAACCTACAACCGACAGAAACATTCAGGGCAGCAAGAATTATTGGAAAAGGTTTAACGGATTTACCGAAGGTAAGGTCCGGGTGGGGAAGTCGGAGTTCTGGTTCGCCATGGCCAGGGCTTCCCTGTGTCCACAGATTGGCTGAGCAGAAGAAAATTGTCTCGTAAAAGAATGGTACATCTGCAACTTTGTGGACTGCAGTTGTGGTGAAAACTCTTCATCCTTGCTAGCCAATACCCGAAACCCAGATCGTGCTCCTCCTCTTCCTCGTCCTTGGCAACCTCTTGCGATCCTTGAGGTAAGGGCCCGGGCGGTTGATGCTCTCATGGTGAAACCTACTGGCTACTAGCTAGACAGAACAATCAGCAACTGAATTTGCATGTGAATTGCAACCTTTTTATGATGCCAAATTTGTTAATTTGCTCAATTGCGCAAGAACGCTCCGCAAGACGCAGCGTACATCGACATAGCAGAAAATGAATGAGCCGATCACCCTCGATCGCACAACGCTACTTTGGGGAAATAAATTCCTAACCTGCGGATTTCACAGAAGCACCCGCAAACGCGTCAATACAGAGTGACTCTGAACCAACTGGCTTGAAGAATAAGCGTGAATGGTGAATTAAAAAGAACAACTATAATAACAACAATATAAAAACCAGAAGACAACGCAGCTGATGGCCTGGCTAGCTGAAGGGAATTGAGCGAGGAAGTACAAGAGAGAAAGAGAAAAGGGATCTCACGAGGATCCGTTGTGCAAGAGGATAGATTGAAGGCCATGTGGAAATGCAGGGGGGTCATGGAGTACCTCCGAACGAGGCTGCAGAACGAGAGAGTTCCTCAAAGGAAACGATGCGATGAGAGCGAAGCGAAGCGATGGCGACGGAAAAGGGGGACTAGTGCTGCGAAGGGAAGGGAATGGAAGGCAATGAAATGCCGTGGCGCTGAATATCTGCGCACCTTAGTTGGCAGCATCGTCCCGTGACGACGACGGCGACGAGGACGACGACGCAGACTTGATGATGCGCAAAAGGAGTTATCCTCCACCGCACTGCCACGTCTGCAGCTCCTCTCCCCCTGCATTCGCCTTGTCAGCGCCACCTCAGCGCACTCCCGTCTTTCTATCCCGAGGAAAAGTCCCCGCACCCACTCCAACTCATGTCATGACCCCCCATCAATTCTCAGTGTTTTGAAAAGAGGAACATGTAAAGAAGAACAAATAACGGCATGTTTGTAAGAACTCTATTCATGAGGCTAAGGTTAGGTGGAAAATCTAAATGATCTTCCTATCTATGATATTTCTATGGTTACAGCATAACGATCTAAATTAGAGAATAACTTTTTGTGCACTGCAAACTTAAAAATAGAGAGGTTGTCATTCTTTGTCGCTTGTACATATCAAAATTTCCTATATCTTATTTTATAAATTAATATATATTTTTCTATATTTGTGTTAATTCATCTAAATGTCTAGATGTATATTATAGTAAAAATATTATTATTCTTTTGATTTTCATACTAGATTTGAAATAATCTACTATCGGTATAGAGATCACAGCTCCAAGAACCTTGTGGTATCTAATAAGAAATAAGTAATAACTTAAACCTGTTTTTCTACAAGAATTTAAAGTTCTAAAAATATGTCAAAAAAGGAAGAACACATTGCGATAAACAGTGAATTGTTTTTTTTTTTAAATTTTTATTTATTTTGCATCACAGAAAAGATGTATGCATAGATGTATATACACATGTACCAAAGAGCAAGAGGAGGAGGAGGAAGAGTAGTATTGTTGTGTATGGGAAGCAGTCTGTATGTATGTTGGAAGGAAGGAAGAGATCGATTCATCCTGACTCAAAAACCACTACTGGACCAGCTCCAGCGAGAGAGAGAGAGAGAGGTGCAACCGCGATGGATGAATTTATGGATGGATGGATGGCCTCTCACGGCAGCAACAGCAGCAGTAGTGCAGGTCATGCACATGGCACGGTCACACCCACCGGGTGGGGGACGCGGGGATAGGGGACGCATTCCTCTCTCTCTCGCTCGCACTCGCTCTGCTTTCCCTGCTCCACCAGGACACTTCTCTTGCTTCGGTTTCCGCTTTTGGTGGCTGACGCTTGCGCGCATTTGCACCTTCAGGGACCGGATTCAGTTCGCCGCCACTTCCTGGATGCTGGACAGGGCTGGTCGCCAATGCGTGTGCGGCCCCTTCATGCTGGCCTCCTTACTCCTTGACCTATTCCGCTTTTTCGCCGTGCCCTGTCCCTTGCTCTTCTTCAGCCGCCCCTCCTTGATGGACCCTGACATGATCTTGGTGAACTGCTCTGTTGAGATCACAAACTTCATGCTCACTGTGCCCTGAACCGCCTGACGAGGCGGCTCTCTATGCAGCAACGACGATGAATCGGAGTAATCCTCCGCCCTCTCCTCCACCTCACTGTCGCCTCCCCCGTGGCTGTTACAAGGGATCGGGAGCAGTAAGTACACTTCCCTGGGCTCTAGCACAGTATGCATTGGCAGAATCTTGGCCTGCTGCTTCGGCATCAACAAGCGGCAGACGAAGTGGTTGGGATGGTCCAAGATAAGGTCCACCACGGCCACCCTAGAGTAAAATGATAACACCTTGCCATCCGCCCGCAGAACCGTCACGGCATCCCGATCGCCCCGCCCAGCGCACACCATCGCCGCGTTTCCCATCTGCACAATCCCGTTCTTGAATCGACCTCTCTAAACTACCCTCAGTGATCGCGTGCATCCCTTCATCTACACACAACGCGAGTCAGGGCTACCAAAGCGCCACGCTACAAGCTAAGTCACCTCCCAAACTCTTCAGAGCAGATGCTTCGTGGACGGAATATGACTCAAACGCTCAGAATGGAATTTCTTCGTGGTCAAACTGAATCGCGATAACTAGATGACTCTATGATCCCATCTAGCACCAGCATAGTACCATACTGAATAGAAGGCTCAGAACCACCCTTTTCAGAGTGATAAGTTGACAGGACTGAAAGGAGCTCTCGAAACATACAGCACTAATGAAGGGGAGGAGGAGGAAGAGCAACAGGAAAAATTAATTGTTGGAAACAGTGGTGTTGTGTGTCGTGGAGTGCAGAAGATGGAAGCGAAGGCGCACAGGCGTAGTGCAGAAGATGAATTCAGTAGAATAGAACAGCGTTTGTCAGTATTGGTTTGGTGCATCCAGCTTCTGCAACATGGCCATATGTAAAGTAGAGCCAACAGGTGGATAGGGGTACGGAGGGACTGGGGTTGCCTCGCCTCTCGGGGAACGAGGCAGCAGTGCGATTCCAACGTCAGCATGAGCATGAGGGAGTGGGGCGAGATCCTGCTGGTGTTCCTCGCAGGATGGGCGGCGATGAGCTAGTCTGCGACGAGTCCTCCGCGGAGTCAGAGCGCAGGGCGTGGCGGAGGCAGCGTGCTAGTCTCCCCCTTCCGGAGATAAAGGGGAGAAAGGGCAGGACCCAACTCACTCTCTCACTCTCGCTCTCTCTCGCCCTCTTCCCCCCTTCCTGATTGACGGCCACTCCCCTATCCTCCCCGTGTACCCGTGGGGGTGGTGCTCATGGTCAACTATGGCACCCATAAAGCCCTTCCTTCCTTCCTGCATCAATCAGCCTCTAGCTGCTGCTGCTGAGCTAGTCACGTGGCTTCTGGTGGGTTTGAAAAATTGGAGGTGCCAGTCCCTGTCCTTCCTCCATTGCCCCCTTTCGCTGTTGCGCTGCCAATCCTAGAAAGCACATGCAGCACCCTGCTCGCCCATGTTGAATTCTTATTTTTCTTCTGCTTCTCGTGCTCTTGCTTGAAACATCTCACTTTTCATACGTTTGTATGCCCTTTCTTGCCATGCCTTTCCTGCACATGAATGCTAGACATCGGTCAACTTCCAATCAATAGCATGCTAGTTGTGTCAAACCCAACACTTCCTTCAAATCAGTAAATTAACTACACTTTATAAAAGCCACACATTCCTGGACTTTTGCATGATTCACAAAGCACATGTAGAACAAATGTGAGGAGATGGTTTATTGCCACAAAAACTGCATTGATGCATTAACCTATCTCATAAATGTGTTGGTAAATACTCATCAAAAGAAACTCTCATATAGACATGATAGCAAGAAAATAATCACACATTTTACTTAGAATCAATATAATATATATTCTTAGGAACTATCATTTGTGACAGTGTTTCATAGTTAGATGCTTATCTTTGAATTACTATTATTAACTATTGACAATGGTAACTAAGTAATTACATGAATGTGGTCTTACACTAGCACGTCCTTTCACCTTGCTAATTTGTCAAAATAATATATTTTAAAATACACAAGCTCAATTATTCCTCTTCTATTTGCCTATTATCATCTCTAGATTATGGCAATTTGATCTTCTCATTGTTTGAACTTTGAAAGTTGAAATCACCACAAGATCGTGTTGCAAATTTCTATAGTATATTTAATGTTTTCAAAAAATGTAGTTTTTTGTTTGTTCTTGCAAAGATGAGATTTGAAAACTTCTTCTTTGCTATGTGATTTTTGCAATAGGAGTCATGTCTTTTGATGTTTTATGCCTACTTCATTTTCTTGCAACAATTATGTGATTGTGTTGCCATGTTTGTAGGAAATTATTTTATTCAATCCATCAATAGACAATTCAAAGAATTCTCTCTTCTTGTTGTGAGTTCTACTTATTATACCAAAGTTGTGACTACTTTAATATTCTTTATGCTAGATGTAATTATAAAGTACGTGTTATATTCAAAGTTAAACAATCATTATTCATTTCATTATTGTAGTAATTAAAATAATTAAATAAGTGGTGGTCAATGTTTATAGCTTCAATGTTAGAGTAACAAACTTTTGATATTATAAGAACTGATTATCCTAGTTATATAGTAGCAATTTTTTTGAGTGGTCAAAGTTGCGCAAGTCTAACTAAGAGATTGACAAATAAGATTGCTTATCTATTCTTTCAACTAAATAAAAATCTTGTGAAGTTTTTCATATTTGGACTTTAGGACTATGGACAAAAATATGATATGTTTTGAATTTCTCATAGCATTATACAAGAAAGATGAGATTTGACATAAAATCAAACCTTAGTCATATTGTATATTTTTGTCAAAGAGAAGAACATTATAAAAATAAATAAACAAGTGAGACTTCTCTCAAAGAAAGATGGAAAAATAGAAATAACTTGATATGTATATTAAGAAAGAAACTGGAATGGCTATTGCCAAAAGCCAAGAAAATTAGAGACCCTTGAAACTAGACTGGAAGCAAAAAAGGAGTTGATAAGAGTGAAGAAGACTTCATTCTTGTTTCTATATATACTATCTAAATAGAGGCTACGTGGTGACATTCTATAGGACCTCTAATATGTGTTGACTTTGTGAGACACATGCCTTGACTTACAAGGCAAGTCTTTCTACATATGGGCCACATAGTTACCTTGGTCTTCAAGCTGACAACATGTGTGGCACATGGCCAACTTGTTGACCATGTTTCTAATCCAAAAAATCAATTAAAGACACCTATAAAGTCAAAGCAGCATCTATGAAGCTTCTAGGAAGCTATTATAGCAAATATTATAGAATTAACTTACTTTTATCTACTTTTACTTACTTCTACCTATTTATACATATAATTACTGGCTTACATGCGTATGTCCATGATATTACTCCCCCCTTCTAGGGACAAATTCCATGAAGAGCGGTCTTTGTATGTTGAGAAAATCTATGATGCGACGAATTGTATTCACAATATACTCTGATCTTTGTTATCTTCGAAGATGATTGATAGGGCCTCTTGACCATTGGTAGTATTCCATACCAAGGCAAGAAGACCACCTAGTTATTTGATCGTTGTTGAGGCCTTCATAACTTCCTTCGAATAAAACATTTG